CAAAAATAGAGACCAAGTTACTGGAAATTTTGAGAGTTTGAAGTGGTGGTATTTCTTGAATAGAATAAAAGATTCTTGTCAAGAGTTTTCTAAACAAAATATAAGATAAATTTAAATGTAAAACAATCACCCTTTAGCTTGAGGATCAAAACACGTGGTTAATCATCCGGTTTTTTATACTTGTGTTTCATAACTCAATTAACTCTCATATAAACAGCAAGTTAATCGGAAGATAAAGACGGACTGTAAGAATTAAGTACATGATTCCGATGCCTTTTTAGAAGTGGACAAAAATTGCCTGTGTCGAGATTTAACCCATCTACAAACAAGCAAGTGTTTTTACAAGGCATCCAACCATGACATTAATTTTTCATTCTTTAGATAAAGCACGATAATAGTGAAGATTGAAATGTATCATGCAGATATCGCCTAGGTACTTGCCTTGAACCAACATGTTTTCCATACAAGAGTCATCTGTGACATAGAAAAAACCCATGGTTAGACAAGGTACCTTAGCTTTACTAGATACATTCAACCATTCAATGAACAAGTGAAATATAAAGCATTAAAGCATAAATGGATTACACAAATATAACTCCCGAATAATTTCTACATATTCATCTCCTCTTACTAAAGAATGAATGAGGAACTACTCACTTTTCATGGCTTGGATAAAGCTAGAAAAGTGAGTGATGCTCATCCCTCAAAGTAGAGAACTTACAAAGTAAAGTATAGTAAACGAGGAGCAGCTCTTCACCAAAGAATAAGTGAATCACGTTCCGCCCTTCACGATTTTGGTAAAGCTCTAGAAAAGTGGAAGAGTTTCACTCCTCTAAGGAAGAAGAAAGCTCAAGCAATGGAAGTGAAATAAAGTAGAAGAAAACTAGTTATTTTTGGAGGGTTTCCACACAACCAAAAGATGAGTTATCTCTCTTGACACTTGTAAATAAAAGCAAGTACAACTACAAGGAGAGCCTAAGCCTCCATCATGGTTGTCACAACATGAATGTAAAGACTTAGCACAAGTAAATAAAAGACTTCAAGTACAAGGGGAGTCTAAGCCTCCATCATGGTTCATACAAATGCAAAATGAAAACATAAACAAGAAATGTACAAGAACTAGTTCTCTACCCTACTTTTCAAGAGAAAAGGATTCTCCCCCTAGAAGCTCCCACAATGGGGCTATTTATAGGCAAGGAAGAGGAGGGGGGTGAAGGAATAGTGTTTGCCACCCAAGTCCAAATGAAAAGCCAACAACTCTGCAGCCAATCAGTGAGGGACATTCGAACATGATCTGTCTTTCGAACGTTGTGTCTGTTTTTGCTTTAAGGGCATTCGAACACCAGATGGGGCCTGAACCCCCCTACTCAAGTGGTTTATGATATGTGTGATGGTTACTTCCATACGTCTTGAACAGCTCTGGCCCAGCACTCAGCAACTTGGTCCTCAGTAACTCATGACAATGTTCGAACGTGGAGTGGCGTTCGAACGTTGTACTCAAGTACTTTTGTGGTTCTGATTTCTTTACTACAACACTCTAGTTGGTCTCATTAGTCTAGTCTTCTCAAGTTTCCAGAGCACGTTCGAACGTGAGTGGGCATTCAAACGTGGTACTCAAGTACCTTAGCATTTTCCCTTTTTTATTGCAACACATCATGTCTCAGCAGCCTGGTCCTCAATCATTTCAGGGGAACGTTCGAACTTTGATCCATGTTCGAACGTTCTTGCTTTGTGCCAAGCTATTGCAATTTTGCTCATTTATCCACTGGTGTTACATCCAAGTGTGATATTTGTTGTCCTTGAGCTCTTGTTCACTTTAGGACCTAAAATGTCATTACTTAAACTCCATCAAAGCACAATTAGTCCCAAAAAGGCATAGTAAAATGCTAACTTTAAGCACTAATCACCTAGCCCCTGTAAATTCAATGCAAAATTTTAGGTATTATGCCCTATTTGTGGATGGTTATACAAGATTTGTGTGGCTTTATCCATTGAAATACGAGTCAGATTTCTTTAATTACTTCGAGGAGTTCAATGCCATGGTAGAAACACAATTCAGCAAGCAAATAAAAGTCTTTCAGTGTGATGATGACGGTGAATTTAGAGATAATGAATTTTTACTTGCTTTATCAGCGTATGGAATGCTTCAGTAGCTATCTTGTCCATCAACGCCTGAACAAAATGGTGTTGCAGAGGGCAAGCATTGACATATCCGTGAGTTGGGTATGACTATGCTTTTTTATTCTGGCTTGAGCAAACGTTTATGGATTGAAGCTTTTTCCACTGCTACCTTTGTGATAAATCGGTTGCCGTCCACTTCCATTAAAATGGATAATCCATTTCATCTACTTTTTAAAAGGGATCCTGATTATACTTCCTTCTGAGCCTACGATTGCAGATGCTACCCCTATCTTAAGGACTACAGTAAAAATAAGTTTTCTGAGAAAACATTACCTTGTGTTTTCATTGGTTACAGTGCTATTCACAAAGGATATTGTTGCCTCCATTCTCAAACTGACATAATCTACATCTCCCGTCATGTGGTTTTTAATGAATTATGCTTTCCAATGGCTCCTCAAACTGCCATTACTGCACCACCAATTGATCCATCTGCTCATCTCAACACTTTTCATGAATGGCTTTCTCCATATCAGTCCACTCCAGGGCTTTCTTTTGCCAACCAGTGCACTGATTCAATTGATTCTCTATCATAGGGGAGTAATGGTTCTCCATCATAGGTTCTTCCTTCCACCTGTTCTCAAGCAGCAGATCCTATGTGTTCCTCTTCTCAACAACTTATTTCCTCTCCCACCTCACCAATCTTATCATTGATAGACACATCCACCACTCCTTGTTCCTCTCAACCCGAAGCTTCACCCGACGCTCCAATTATTGAGGAAAATTCTAATTTACTATCTTCCCATACAAATTCACATACCTATGCACCCAGGAGAATTATATGTTGATCTTGGTCCTCTCCCTACTTCCATTTTTCCAAGTTTCCAACATAATACTCACCCCATGCGCACAAGAGGAAAAGAAAAAATAGGTCTTCTTCATGTCCAAACTCCATCATCATCTACTGATTTGCCAAAAGAACCCAAGACTGTTAAAGCAGCCTTAGCTGATCCTAGATGGTCTGTTGCCATACATGATGAATTACAGGCATTGGCAAATAATCACACATGTACTCTTGTTCCTCGTTGTCCTCACATGAACATTGTAGGTTACAAATGGATATTCAAAACTAAGCTACATGTTGATGGGACTCTTGATGGCTTAAAAGCTTGCTTGGTTGCAAAAGGGTTTCACCAAAATTCCCACATTGATTTTGTTGACACATATAGCCCAGTTGTTCGCCCTCAATCTATTCGTATTGTTCTTATCATCACTCTTTCCCGTAATTGGGAAATTTGACAATTAGATGTGAAGAACGCCTTTGTGCATGGGTATTTGAAAGACTATGTTTATATGGATCAACCACCAGGGTTCGTTGATCAATCTTCTCCAAATCATGTGTGTCAACTATCACAAGCACTTTATGGTCTTAAGCAAGCACAACGTGCTTGGTTCGATCACTTTAGTCAATTTCTTATCTCTTTGGGCTTTGTCTACTCACAACCTGATCCTTCTCTATATTCTCTACATATTGCCAAAGGAATTCTCATCCTTTTACTCTATGTCGATGATATTATTGTTATTGGTGATACTCCATCCTTACTTCATACATTTATTGCTCGCAGTCAAGCAACCTTTGCCATCAAGGACTTAGGTTTTATTCACTATTTCCTTGGTATTGAAGCAATACCAACTTCTCATGGTCTCTTACTCTCTCAACATAAATATGTTTAAGAAATCCTTAGTAGAGCAAACATGGAAAATTGTAAACCTATATCCACTCCTTTACCTACTAAAATTGATCATCCTAATGATCCTTTAACTGACCCTCATCAGTTTTGTACCTCACCTTGACTCGACCGAATCTCACCTATTTAGTTAACCTTGTGAGTCAATATGTGCACGTGGCCACTATCGCACATCTTACTTTAGCAAAGCGGATACCGCACTATATTCAAGGAACTTCACATTTTGGTCTTCATTTGCTCAAGCAAAATGCTCTTGATTTGTATGCCTTCTCGGCTGCTGACTGGGCTAGTTACCCATTAACCAAAGGTTCCACAAGTGATTATGTTATCTTCATTGGTTCTAATCTCGTATCCTGGGGTGCTAAGAAGCAACCTACTATTGCCAGATCTAGCACTGAAGCAAAATATCGTGCCCTCGCTGTCACTACTGCTGAAATCACTTGGGTTACATATATTCTTCGTGCTCTAAATATCTATCTCCCACGTCTAGCTACATTATTTGGTGACAATTTAAGTGCACTTCATTTATATGCTAATCCAGTTTTCCAAGCTCAAACTAAACATGTTGAATTGGATTATCATTTTGATCGAGAAAAAGTGGCTCAAGGAATTATTGTTACTCAATTTGTCTCATCTTCTGATCAACTTAGTGATATTTTCACCAAGCCCCTTTCCCGTGAAATATTATGTTCTCTTCGTGGCAAGTTGGGTGTGTTGTCTCTCTCCCACCTCATTAGAGATAGTGATCCAGACTTAGAATTTGCTCCAATAAGGACTGCTGCACCGACTTGGAGGACTGCTCTACACTCAGAATCTGCTCCAATAAGGACTGCTACACCGACTAGGAGGACTGTTGTTGCTTCATCGACTAGGACTGCTCCATGAACATCACAAATAGTCTGCTCCAATAAGGATTGTTTAAGTGATGAATTCCACTCAAAAAAGGACTACTGCACCATAAGTAAAATAATAAGTAAATAACCTAACCAATCAACTTAAAACCTCCAACTAAATATAAACATAAAGTAAACACTTCAGAAACTTGGTTCAGTCAATCTTCTAGAGTCTAGACTGGTGGCTTCAGAAGGTTTTCTAGAATTGTGACTGCATCTTGTAGATTGTGTTTTTGTCCACCTAGAAAACCTTCGCTAAAAGATCGCTAGCAATATCAGGTTTTGATCCAAAGACAGCATTTGCTATGGGAATAACTCCAGGGTTTTGACTATCCAAAGCTGCAATGGCGATTGCATTACCATATCCAACATTGCATTGGAAGTGGACAAGACCCGCTGGAAAGACAAACACATCACCTTTCTTAAGCACCTTTGATATGAGACGATTTTCTGGATTGGAGGTGACAAATCCCACTATGAAGTTGCCTTGTAATACTGTCAATATTTCAGTAGCACAGGGATGTGTATAAGGAGGGTTTGTACCACATGGAGCATAATTGATACGGACCAAAGAGATGCCAAGGGTATTAAGTCCTAGAATTTGGGCTACATTTACTGGAGCTACCCGTGATCCAACTGAATTTGATGTATTTCCCACTAAGTGAAGCCCTCTAAACAAAAAATCATTACATTGTACAAGCTTTGGATCCTTGCAGACAAGACCATTCACTAGCACTGTCATAAAAAAAAAAAAAAGGCATAACCACAAATAACCATAAAAACCTATAAGTACAACTAGGCCTTATTTGTTGATATGCGAAACCGGTGACGAAACATGGAGTTTAAAGAGTTTGAAAAAAACATTACCTAGGCTATTGGGGTTTGCAACACAAATATTTTGGAGAGGGCTATAGTCAAAAGCCAAAGCTAGAGACAAAGCTATGGCCAACAGCCCAAGCAAGAGGAAACGAGGAGCCATTTTAAGATATATCTTCCTTAAGTACCCACACAAGAGACATGAGGAAACACTGAATCACTTATGAGGACAAGTGAGACTCGTGCTAATTAATAAGTACCACTTTGGCTTGCTTTTATAGAGAGAGAGAGAACATTGTGCCTTCCAGTCACCTATGCATTAAAAGAGTCCAGAACTCATTGGCGACAATTGAACAAGGAAATGCATATATGATATATCCATTATCCCACCTCAGTTTCTTTTACGCCTGCTATTGTTACAGGCCAAGAAACAATTATTTTTGCAATCTTATAAAGAACCATTCAATAAGTCGTCAAAAATTTGAATATCTTGTCAGAAAAATTTGAATATCTTGTCAGGACATCACAAAAAACAATTTATCAAATTAATGATGACTGTTCTAACGTAATACCCATTCAAGTGCTAATTCGATTTGGTGCAGCTGTGGTATTTCCTTATATATAACAGAACATGACATAAATAATAAACTGTTCTGGGTTTTGGACACAAGTGCAGTCCAAAAATGCCTTGTGGAAAAGTACAATGCAGAAATTGCTCTTTGCAGGAGCAAAATTTATTTACAAATAAGATATTCAAGAGAAATGTAGGAGTAATGTAATTGTTTGTTGGGAGAATTACACTCAGACCCCCTAGGTTTTATTGGCTATAATTTCAGCCTTTGTATATTTGTGATAGATAAAACAAAAACAATGTAACTTAGTCTTTTTTGGAATAATTTTTCCATTGATGTATTCCATATTCTCAACATACATATAGATTACAAGATATATCTTGACCACTCACTTTCCTAGACCATTAACCACATAACAAGACCCAAGACATAACCACTTGTGTTCCCAAGACAACTAGATACACTTAACAACAAAGTATTATCTAGTATACTATTTTTAACACTCCCCCTTAATGCTTTATTGTTGTATTCCCAACATGTCTCTTAGAAACTCGAACTTATCTTTAGGAAGTGCTTTGGTAAAAATGTCCGTCACTTGATCTCCGGTCTTACAATATTTGACTTGAATCTCTTCATCTTCTACGGCTTCTTGAATAAAGTGATGCTTGATTGCAATGTACTTAGTTTGGCTATGATAGGCGGGATTCTTTGTCATGGCGATAACTGATTTATTATCGCACAAAATTGGAGTTGTTTCATCTTGCTTTTTACCATTATCTTCCAGGATTCTTCTCAACAAAATTGCTTGAGAAATGGCCAATGATGTTGAAATATATGTAGCTACAGCTAATGATTGTACCCACACATTGTTGTCTCTTTGACACCCATGAAATTACACCGGAACCAAGTGAAAATGCATAGCCCAAAGTGCTCCTCATATCGTCAATGTTTCTGGCCCAATCACTATCACAAAATCCAAGTAACTTGACATCAACTTTTCTTCCAAACATAATCCCAAAATCAAGTGTTCCTTGAATATATCTCAACACTCTCTTTTCTGCCCCAAAATGAATTTGGCTTGGTTTGTGCATAAACCAAGATAACAAACTTGTAGCATACATGATGTCCGACCTTGCAGCTATCAAGTACAAAAGACTTCCAACCAAGCTTCTATAAAAAGATGCTTCAACTTCTTTAACTCCATCATTTTTTAACAACTTTTCATTCACAACCAAAGGTGTAGCCACCGATTTGCAATTTCTCATTCTAAATTTTTCAAGAAGAGTTTTTGCATACTTCTTTTGACAAATAAAAACTCTATCTTCTTGTTGATAAATTTCAATGCCCAAAATAATGTAGAAGTCCAAAATCACTCATTTCATAACTTTTCATCATCTCACTTTTAAAATCTTCAATCATTAAATGGTCATTCCCGGTAAAAATCAAGTCATCAACATAAAGACACACAATGAGAATACTGGTATTACCTTAGATTTTGATGTACAAGGTTGGGTCACTTTTATTGAAATAGGAATCAATCTCACTATATCATGCTCGAGGTGCTTGTTTTAGCCCGTACAAAGCCTTTTTCAGCTTGTACACTTTTTCTTCTTCACCGTTGACCGCAAAGCCTTGAGGTTGCTCTACATAAACTTCTTCTTTTAACACACCATTCAAGAACGCTGATTTTACATCTAATTAATGAAGAAACCAGCCCCTTTATGAAGCAAGAATAATAAGAAGCCTTATTGTATCAAGTCGAGCAACCGGAGCAAAAGTCTCTTGGTAATCAACACCAGGTTGTTGTGAATACCCCTTTGCTACAAGCCTTACTTTATTCTTTTGAATTGAACCATCCGGATTAAACTTCGTTTTGTAAATCCACCTCACCCCAATGACCTCTTTATTATTTGGCTTTTCCACCAACTCCCAAGTGTTATTTTTCTCAATCATATGAATGTCATCTTCCATTGCTTTCTTCCAAGCATCTTCTTTGATTGCTTCTTCAAAACTTTCGGGTTCAACCACACAAAAATTGCATCTAGCATACACATCACTAAGACTTCTCATTTTCTTTGGAGTTGAACTTAGAGATAAAGTGCTTGAACTTGAAGAAGTAGAAGGAGATGAATGAAAGTTGAGTGTTGGAGACATTTGTGGTAGAACTTCAACTTCTTCATTTTCCTTTTCAATCTCAAAGCTTCCATAATCTTCACTTGTTACAATCACTAAAGAGTCCTTCTCATTAAAAAGAACATCTCTACAAATAATCACTTTGTTTCTCTTCAAACTAAAAAGTCTATAACCCTTTGATTTAGAGCTATAACCCACAAAAATACATTTTTCAGTACTTTCATCAAACGTGTACCTCACTTCTTTAGGAACATGTGCAAAACTAGTGCACCCAAAAACCTTTAAGTGATTCATCAACGACTTCCTTCCACACCAAGCTTTAATTGGAGGGTGGTTTTTCAAAGCTTTTGTTGGACATCTATTCATCAAGTAAACCGTCATGTATACCGCTTCGGCCCAAAATAATATAGGTAAACCCTTCTCGTAAACCATCGATTTAGCCATCTCAACAATGGTTCTATTCTTTCTTTCAGTCACTCCATTATGTTGTGGAGTATACTTAACCGTCAATTGTCTTTCCATACCAATGTATTCACAAAACTTATTAAATTCATTGGAGTTGTACTCATCACTTCTTAACAACTTAATGTAGTATCCAAACTTTTGAAATTTTTTAAATACTTGAAAAACTTCATATTTTTGTCTCATAAAATAGACCCAAGTCATTCTTGAAAAATCATCAACAAAGATTATGAAGTATTTGTTATCAACAATTTTCATCAACAATTTTCATCTTCAAAGAAACATTGTTTGAATACCAAAAAATGAGGGAAAAATTTATGTTTTTCTCCATCTCAATTTTTGCTATAAATTTCTTTTTCTCCCGACAATCATAGATCATGCAAGAGTTGTCCTCAAACACCACGAAGTACCCATACTCTATAAGTTGACCAACACTCAACAAATTTTGTTCCAAGTCCGGTACTAACAAAATATCTTGGATCTATTTTGTTCCTTTCTTTGTTTCAATAACAATGGTTCCCTTGCCTTTTGCTTGAACCATGACACCATTTTCCATCCTTACTTGAGAATTAGAAGTGGTGTCCATGTTCACAAAAATATTATCATCACCGGTCATATGGTTACTACAACCACTATCAATATACCATACATCATTCCTTTGCTCGAACATTGCTTGACAAGCATAGAACATGTTTCCACTACTTTCTTGCTCTTCGAAAAAATTAGCTTGTTGATTATTCTTGAACCGGCAATCTTTTGCAAATGACCAAACTTTTTGCAATTAAAACATTGAGGCTTTCCACGTAACCAACAATATTTATCAACATGACTTGATCTTTTACAAATTCCACATTTTTGTTGAGTGGATTCTTCATTTGATCTTCTGTCAAAATTTCCTCTTCATCTTCCTCTTGAATTTCTTCCACTATCTCTTCCTCTTCCAAATTTTCTCCCTCTAAAAGATTCATGTTTAGATTGATTGGAACTCGACGATTCATGACTTTTGAGTTAACATTAAGCTTGTATTAAAAAACACTCTCAACAGATTTTTCAGCGTGTCTACTCAACCTTTGCTCAAATGCTTTATAGAACCCAGTAATTCTTGAACACCCAAAGAAGAAATATCTTTGGTTTCTTCAATGAAGGAAACAATAGAATCATATTTTTTCGGTAAACTAATTAAAAATTTCTCAACAATTCTTGACTCCAAAATTTGGTTTCTATAAGTTTTCCTTTGATTTACAATCTCCATAAGTCTAGAGAAGAAATCATTTAAGAATTCATTCTCTTTCATTCTACTATTCTCAAAATCTCTTCTCAAGGACTGTAGTTTCACGGCTCTTACCTTCGTAGTACCACGATACTCATTTTGTAAAGTGTCCCATGCTTCCTGTGATTTTGTAGCACTGATAATTCTAGGAAAAATTATATCCATTACTCGTTGAATCAAGTGAAGAGCCTTTGCATCATTCTTCTAGTTTTCCTTTACTTGGTTCCTTTAAGCCATTGTCATCTGCGTTGCCATCTCTTCAGTTGGATCTTCATAACCACTTTCAATCAAATCCCAAAGATCATAAGAGAGAAATATAGTTTTCATCTTGACACACCAATAATCATAATTTTCACCATCAAAGATGGGAAAAGAAGGTTGTTGTGCACCGGTAGACATGTTGATTCTACTTGTCATTTTGATCTTCTTCATTAGGACTTTATTTATCCAATGAAAAATTTCACGCCCAGCTAGTTAGCCTCGAACTACCTCTAATGTGACGTCCCTAAAACTGGGGTTCCCGTTGACCATCCGTCAACCCGCAAAAATACCCGTGAATGTCGCGTGGCTCGACATCATGTCTATCACATCCCTGTAATCGGGATCATGACTTACACGTATATCCCATGTTTCTTTAATCATTTAATTCAATGGAGGTCCAATGAACTTCAATATACCTCATTTAATGTCCATTTGTATCATTGGAATCAAAGAAAACAAAGCCCA